CCTACAATAATGTACAGTATTTGAAAAATAATGTGTTTTTTGAACATTAAAGCATGTCAACATATTCTGTTACACCAAATAATGATCTTTAAAATAGCATCATATGACCCCTTTAACATTTTACAGCACAGTGGTGTAACTCACTTGTAAAGGGTAAGAAGACAAGCTCCAGAGGTGCCATTAAGAACTGCATGATCTTCAGAAAGCAATTCTGCCTTGTTCCTGCAGGGCAGTGCTAGTGCTTCTTCATCCAAAAGAGTCATTAGAACCTTAACAGTCTCTCGTCCCCCATAGGCAGTGGAGTGGTTAATAGCATACGCTTTGGGCTAAAAAGGAAACATCTTGTGTCTTACTAATGAGGTTGGAAGAAATATTTGGAGAAGATAGAGTACATCCACTATTTTTACCCTTGCTGGACTGATTCCCATGCCAACGCTAGTGCTTCTTCATCCAAAAGAGTCATTAGAACCTTAACAGTCTCTCGTCCCCCATAGGCAGTGGAGTGGTTAATAGCATACGCTTTGGGCTAAAAAGGAAACATCTTGTGTCTTACTAATGAGGTTGGAAGAAATATTTGGAGAAGATTCAGAATCACTGAATGCGTCTGCATGGTGTGTATTTGACCCATTCTTTCCTTGAGACTTTTGGCTGTATCCTCTGCTGCAAGGTACACTGGGTCTCCATTACTGCGGCCTTTGACCAGAGCAGCTCTAATACTAGACACCAGCTTGGATCCAGCTTCTCTGTTGGAAGAAAACAGTGCAATGCAGACAATTAAAAACACACATTTTCATATTTTAGCCATCCTAAAGGTGTAGTCACAAACTTCAAAGGGGTAGTTCACCCAAAAATGAAAATTCTCTCATTAATTGCTCACCCTCATGTCGTTCCAAACCCATAAGACCTTCTTTCATCTTCGGAACACAAATTAAGATATTGTTGACGAAATCTGAGAGCTTTGATGATGATGTTTTGTTATTTTGGTTTTAAACATTAAGGTTTAACCACTGATGTCACATGGACTATTTTAACGTCCTTTTAATGTCCTTACTAACTTTCTGGGCCTTGAATGTGTCAGTTGTGTTGCGGTCTATGCAGGGTCAGAAAGCTGTCGGATTTCATCAGAAATATCCTAATTTGTGTTCTGAAGATGAACGAGAAAAAAAAAAAAAAAAAGCTTTGAAATAGAGGATCTAAATGGTACAGATAAACCTCTTGGCTAGGAAAAGAAAACACACACACACAGGTGATTTAGTTAGCAAATCAACACAAGCTTCATAGTTTGCAGTGTTGTAAAATTGCTGTATATTTAACATTCTGAACATTATTCAGTGATCCCATACATCTTGACCAATGAATTTCCATGATTTTTTCATAACCTTTCCACTAATGCATCATTCAAACCCGATTTGTCAACCGATTTGGCTTTAAAGACAATGATTCACACTCAAATAACTATGGCTTGCAAGCAGGTTTCCAAATCACCATGCATGTTTTTAGATTAATGTCTATAAATTGCCTACTACTACTACTAGATTATTATTATTGCTATTATTGACTATTAAAAAAATTCCCCAGGCCTAGAAAACTTGATTTTAAAAATAAGTTTCCAGGTTTCCCATGACTGTCGGACTCCTGATTATTTGTTATAGAAAGAGGTTTGCTGCATAGAAACGATTTTGCTAGTGTGATTTTAATCTAGTGTGACCACTCTTTAACACATGTAAAAACGCGGCCTAGGAGAGTCCAAGAAGTTTTCGTGCCAGACCAGTGCTATTGGTGTACTCCACCTCACTTTATGTGTGAATATATGAAGAGATTAATAAATGTAAACATTTGGGCTGCAGCGGGAAAGAGGCCGCCCTGAATCCCTGACCTTGCTTTTGTGAAAGGGAATTACAGTAACAGAATCATCTGGGAAAACAGATGTTAGCTGTACGAGAGACCCCGATTCCCCCGTAAGGAGTGTTTGTGTGTGGTAATACAGTACTCCATAAGGTGCTGGGAGGTGGGGAACTGCACAGGCAGGGTAGCAGACTGATGAAAGACCCCTTTTGGCTCAGCGCTCACACTCTCTCATCAGAGAAAAGAGTGAACAGGACCACATGCAGCAGGTTCAAGGCACTTCCATCAAAAATGAAGTTGATGCACATGATGCACTGCAGGAAATGACCGTCCGGCCTTTCTGAATAACTCAATCATCTATTCAATTCAGCTCCATGTGTTGTGCTGCCAAATGTCTAGTGGAGATTTGCTTGGACGTTTTGAAGTGAGAGTTATCATGGCAAAATCTCACTGTTATGATGTTTAATCAGAGTTATCAAACTAAGGAGGGACAAGGCCGCCATTTGCTGTTCGGTACAACACACTTTGATGTTCCTCAGATAAACATGCTTGAACAATTCAGGCGATTTCATTAATACTGGTGCAGACGTCATTAAAGGTTGCTTTTGATTGTTTTCATTTTTTGGCCTGTATTACAAGAACTCTATATTTCCAGCAAAGGCAAACATCTACAGCTGCTATGCAGACTTAAGACATTTGTTGTGTTCAGAATTGAATACTGTGGATATGTATTCCGATACAGAATTTATACATAAAAAAAAAATAAAAAAAATGCATGATACGTACCTGGGATTAGGGGAGTCTCCCAGAACTTCTTGACACTGGTCGACAAAATTGAGAAACTCAGATAAACCCTTTATGTGCTTCCTTAAGGGGTGAGACTCAGGTGGGGCGTACCCCTTTCCTCCCAACTGTATGGCCCTGACAAATGATGTTACTGTCTGAATATACAAAAACGGCAATTAATTAGCATTCACATTATGGTTAAAAAGATATGTAGTTAAACAAAAATGTGCGCAAATTTATCTATCTTAAAGTATATGTCATTGCAAATTCACCAGGAAGAGAGACGAGGCACTGTCGCAGGCAGCATGTCTAAGGTCAGTAAAGGCGCTGTGACCCAGAGAGCGATTTGGGTTGTCCAGGGTGTATGCGAGGGCCAGGTCGTTCTTAGAGTTCACCAAAAGGCCCAAATAAGAACAGAAAACTCTCCTGACAACTCTCTGTATCTGCAGGAAAAGGTTGAACAACACCTTAGTGGAATAATTGGAAATGTACTAAAAACAAATGTTAACTGAAATGATAAAATGGTTTGTTTTGAACAGGAACGGTTTATACTCTTCCGTTCTGCAATACTGACTTGGACTCATGTTGAATAAAGGACGGGCTTTTTCCACAGCCCCTTAAGCTTAAACAGGCCAGGCTCATAAACTTCATCACCCCCAGTATTACAGTGGCAAAACCCAGCGTCTACTCACACATAAATCAGAGCCCAGCAGAGCAGCTGTGAACAGAACTGGGCAAGAGTAGCAGCAGTTTCAACACACTATACAAAGTGCTTTTAAAACATCCTGTTCTCATTTCACGACTGTGACTATGGTATGATACGATATTAACATTGTTCGGAATAAGAGGCACATGCAAGGGGGTGAAATTTAACTGCAAACAAAAGGGAAAAAGACAGCCAGCAAAACAATACTAGAGTAAGATCTCAACATAAATGTAACAGAATCAGATCCTTCGCTAAACTTCACCCTCCTTAGTGCTCAGAAATTCTGTGTTGTGTGGCAACATCTCCAAGACACTTCAAGAAACCTACCTGCAAAGCTACAGTACTGTGAAAAGTTTTAGGCAAAAAATTGGTGTAAAGTGAGGATGCTTTCAAAAATGTCATAAATAGATTGTTTATTAATTAATTTATGTCCTCATTAGTGAGACAGCAGAGGTTAATATCACCGGAAGCGTCACGAGCGTCTCAGCGTCTGCGCCATTCATTAACATATTTAAATATGAATCGTTTTGCGGCTTAATATTTACAAATACTAGTGGGAGTGGGCTTACTTGTGAGTGTGAGTGTGAGTGTGTGTGTGTGTGTGTGTGTGTGTGTGTGTGAGCGCGCGCATCGGGCGGAACTCCGCTGTGCGTGATACAGAGAGCGCGACCATATCGTAGAGACTGAAATGACATGCCGTCGTGTAAATAAGACAAATCACATAAGGCTATTTAGTTTGCTTAATGAAAGAACAAGGTATTGACATGTTCTATAAGAACGGTAACTTTAAATGACTTCTGTTGTGATCTGGCGCTATAGAGAAAATATAATTAATTAAAATTAAATTTTAGGGGGCCGCCCCCCTAAAAGAATGGCAGGGGAAACACTGTGTGTGTGTATATATATATATATATGCGCATGTATATGTACAGTACAGTGCAAAAGTCTTAGGCCACTAGTATTTTCACCAACAAAAAAAATGGGTTTAGGTCAGTTATTTCTATCTTTTGCTGTAATGAGTCAGTAGGAAATACCAGTTTACATTTCAAAACATTATTTTGGTATTAATTGTAATAATCCAATGAGATATTTGTGTGCACAAGGAGTCTGACAGCAGCCAGTGCTCCACATAGAGATCTGATCTCACCATCATCTAGTCTGTCTGGAATGATATGAAGAAACAGAAAAAAAACTGAGACAGACTAAATCCAGAAGAACTGTGGCAACATCTCCAAGACACTTCAAGAAACCTACCTGCAAAGCTACAGTACTGTGAAAAGTTTTAGGCAAAAAATTGGTGTAAAGTGAGGATGCTTTCAAAAATGTCATAAATAGATTGTTTATTAATTAATTTCTATTAACTAAATCAAATCAACATTTGGTGTGACCACACTTTGCATTTAAAACAGCTTTTGTCCTAGGTACACTTGTGCATAGTTTTAGCACAAGTAGTTAGCTTTCTTGAAGTGGAGATGTTGCCACAGTTCTTCTGGATTTAGTCCGTCTCAGTTTGAACAACACCAAAGAATTAGGTGTCGTTCACATGAAGTTTTTTTATTTTTACATGCAATTCAGTAAATAAAGTAAAAGTGTTCAGTGCTTTGTTGAAATATTTGTTCAACCCATTTGCTGTAATGTTTTGTGAATAAGAGCCATACGCGCACACAAAAACCACCTCTAATTCTAGTCTTATGCTAATGCATCACCATTTACCTGTGGACTACAGATTGCCTTGTTAGATGGAGTTGCGGGACACAAAGGAAGAGGATCCATTTTCTCTAAACTCTCCTTCTCACCCATGAGAAACTGAAACAGTTGCATCTAGATATCGAGATAAGACCGAGAACATGCCGCAGATTCAAGATCTTTGAGAAAGATGACTGAAAGAACTACCAAATCTGAGGCCCACTGGCAGCACTCACCGCGGTTAGGGGCTCCTCAGGGTCCTCATTTATCTGAATCTCCTTGAACATAATGAAGACGTCAATCAAGTCCACAGTATTGGTGCGTTTCAAAAAGCAGTCATACTCTTTTCGGATGAGGTCATAGTTTTGCGGAAGAGGGATATCGTTGTGGGATAGCTGGAGTTTATCCAGAAGGAAGTATTTCCAGGCAGCCAAGACTTCACTCAAAACAACACCAAAGTCCCCATGTTCCTGTCAGGAGCAGAGCAAACACAGGGACAAGCATATTACGCAGAACCACTCCACAGAAAATGTACAGATACGGAACAAAATGTATGATTCAAACTTGTGACTCATTCTTTTTCCTACCGCAGCACATATAGACTGCAAGCAAACATTTACATTGAAAGTGGAAATTCAATAAAATTGTGTTCAAAAGTCCACCTATGAAAATGTGTTTTTCAGGCAAATTATCAGCAGAAAGGGGGGAGGGGGGTGTCTTCCATAGATCATTTGACTATCTGTACAACGTTCACATGATCTGTGTCACAGATTTTTGACTTAGTGATATAAAAACATATTTATGAGGTCAAAAATAAATAAATACATTTTTTAAATCATTTTTGATATACCAGTATATACCATACACACTTTTCACTCAAAAAAATACAGAATTATTACAAGTAAAAATAACTGTTTTCTGTTTTTATATATTTTTTGAAAAATGTAATTTATCTCTGCAATGGAAAAAAAAAAACTTATTTTAATAAGAAATCATATATTTCTTTACAAATAAACCTTATTACTGAACTCATTACTGAAAAGTAGTGTATATGTATATACAGACCTGAAATCCATGCTTTTGTGCTTTGGTGATTTTAGCCAATAACAAATAATAAGAACCCCAGATACCAAAAATGTGAAACGAGTCTTCAAATCAAGTTCATAATGCAACATTACCTGCTTGTTGACCCCAGCCATAGCAAGTTGTAGGATCATCAGCATCCCATCAGCCCCTTGGATGGTGGTCCTCTCCGAGTCTAACACCCTGTGACATTCTCTCCTGAAAACCCTGGTCATTGTTCTCAGGCTTTCCTCCATAACCACCATTATTCAACGTTTACAAAATGAACTGCAGGGCCAGAAAATTGAGCAGGTCAGCACTGAAATGATTATGAGCAGACAGCAGAACATACATGCAACCCAGCCAGCATCACATATAACGTTACCTTTCCAAATCTAGCACTGAACTAGAACAGTGTCCGAAGACATCAAGCAAATCACAATAATAGTCAGGAACAAGAGGAGCCCCTTTGCACTTTATTAGGAACAGAACCTCCAGACCTCTTAGGTCAACTTACCAACACTGATATTTAGACGCGTCCTAGGTCTCTAATGTGAAACACATGGGAAAACTGACGCCAGTAGATGTAAGGTATCATAAACTGGTCCGATGCCTGTAAATTTAAATCCACATGCCAGGACGCCTGGACCAATCACAGAGCGCGATGTGTTAGACACGCCCCCTCCAAACGGATATTAGCACAAACAGATAACAAGTGTCGATTGTTGACAAGAAAAATCATAAAATGCGGCGATGTAAAGAAATACGAGAGCTAAACCATTTCATTGTTTATAGCCTTTGCATTTTAGGTATATCTCCCATAATAAAAAGATGAAAAATACTCAGCACCTCCAAATATGTGTCAGATATATTGCTCCAGAGGTAAAATTAAAATGTACAATAAATTAGAGAAGTGCATCAATGCGTCTTTTTTTTTTTGTTTGGCTTTGTTTCTAATGCTTAGGGACCTCTTTTCCTGATATGTCTTTGTGCTGCCAGCGTCATGATTACGTCACTAACCTGGAAGTAAACAAACGCGATCACGTGATCAGAAAGCGCGCTGAGAACGAGCACCGCATGGGTTTTCATCATCTGCACCAGAACTCACTTTCTCAGCCAGACGATCAACCGAGTATAAAATATTATTCCAGGTTTGTCATATAAAGCGTTAATATCTATTTTAAACATGCATGACTCGTTGCACATCAGCTTGCTGTCTCTGATCTTAAGTGTAACGTTAGTTAATTCATAACTTCGACAGTGAAATGAATGTATGGAGACCGTAAAGAAATATAAAGAGTTAAATATTTATTATTATCATAATATATGTCAGGTACAGTAGAGATTAAGTTATAGGGTTTATTTAATAAAAAAAAAATATATATATATTTGTTAAATGTAGGAAACTTTCTTTATAGAACTAAAACAACGTCTGGACAGCACACATCCTATTACTTTACATTATATCAGATAATACTTTTTTGTTAACCATTATGGCATTTTCCTCCAATAAAATGTGCTAATTTGTGGCTCTCCATGTTATTTATAATTTAGAGTGGAATGAAACTCCATTTCACCCAAACAGCAAGGATTCATTTGATGGAAGATGCCAGATGAAACAGTTCGCTCTGCAAGCTACACAGTGTCCTGTGAGGACTATGTTCATGTAGTGGAGTTCAGTCCATTTGACTGTGGCTCACCTGCGTCACTTCTGGCGTATGGAGGAAACCAGTATGTGGTCGTGGGCACTTGTCGTTTTAAGGTGAGTACAGTAATTCAGCAGACTGATCAGTCTGTGGTAAGAGTGTTAACCTTCTGGAGGTGTACCTCACTGCAGGGTGACAGTCCTGCTCCAACACACATTGATGAACTGGTTCAGGTGTATTTGATTAGAGGTAAAACTAAACACTTCAGGAAGTGGATTCCCAGTGTGCATTCTTGCATACTATCCTCCCTAAACAACTGCCTTGTCCAAATACCCACACTTGCGGTCTTAGCCACATGAGGAAGTAAGAAAGTAAGTGTGCAAGACTGTCCCAGGTCTTAAAAACGCCAGAGCGCAGTGCCCTTAACGCACACTAAATCCACACTATCTTATCTCCGGAGCAGTATTCGAGGCTTAGTGTATCCCATCATGCATCATGTTCTGGAAATAAATCGTGAGAAACCTTTTATGTTAATATGTTGAATTTTGCGGTACCTATATATTGTATCTTACCCTATATATTGTATTGTTATATATCGTATTGACAACTCATCAATCAAGTATTTACCATCTTATATTTTGCGTAATTGGATGTTTTTAAATAAACACTGACAAAAACTATATACGTTTTTGGGCTGGATGATGTATTTAACATTGATTTAAATGATCATCCAGATTTAGACCAACCTATTTTGTATTTACATAAGTGTTCACAGGCAAATTTGCTTTATGTATTTCACCGGCTTTGCAAGCAGGCACATATAAATATCAGGAAACACGATTCCTGGCTGCATGTCAATATCCACGGACCACTGGATATTTGGTAAGTCGTAAGAAACACTATGTCGAGTCCAGCAACTTTTAGTTTAAACTGATTATTGTTTGTTTTACTCACATTTTTGCAGCTTCCCTATTAAATCCGTTCATGCAGCAGGCTCTTTTGCCACTCAGTCCAGCTGAGGGGCCGTGTTTCGATAGGAAAGTGATGTCAATGCATACCCTCTAAAGACCTTTTTCACATTTCCGGGTTTCTTAGCAGCGGAAGTCGTCATAGTTGGGTAAACTTCAAGAGCAGTTAATGGGAGAGTACCACAAATTAATTTCAAACCTCCACGATAGTGTTTTCACAACTTTCAATCAAAGGAAAAAAATTGTGAGAGACTAATAACGGCAGTCAGAAGAGAAAACGATGTCTAAAATCGACGTCCCTCCCATAGACGCTGTATTAAAAACACCCTCGTTAACATTGGCATTAACTAGGTTTTTCTATAATTTGATGCAAAGGTGATATAATACAAAGTATAGTGTTATAAATGTACATACATTTTTTTTTAAGTCAAAAAATATAAAAAAACCTTCGAGGATTTACATTGCTGATGATTGTTGAAATGTGTCATCACAGACTTGTGAAAAGGGTCCATATTCAAGATAACTAATCTCGATTACTATTTAGGATATTTTGAAGGGTATGTGAATTGGGATGCCGGGTGGACTGAGTTCTCTCTGACAAGTAATCACAATTTTTCCAACAAAACATCCATTCTTACATGAAACTCAAGGGATGTGTTCAGAAAGGATTACTTACATACTGGGCAGTATACAACTTTACATTTATTTTTAAAATGGTTTGTATGACCAAGGGGCCAAGGTTTGGCTGGTTGCCATGGTCCTGTTAGAAATACCAGAACAAGTATTGTTTTCTATTGACCACCATTCAAAATTAGCTGGCAAAATACAAATTTAACAACCAACTACAAGTTGCATATCAAGATAAATTTCATTATTTTATTATGAGCATTATATTGAATTTTGTTCATTTGTCACACTAGTTTATCAAGTTATTGAATTAAAGATCAAGTCATTTTATGGGATAACGGGAATTATTGCTTCGTATACAACAAGATAAATCGTACACTACAAGATATGGGAGATATAGTATCGTATACTACAAGTTTTGGCAAATGTAATAGATTGTCTGGGAAATTCAGACATTCAGAAAATGTACACAATGGCTGTACCATTGAATATTTCCTTACTATATAGTGGGGTAAAAACTTAATAAAACAGCAGGCAAAAAGTACCCGGATGACTGACTACTTCTGACGAGATTCTAAAGTGCACATCCAATGGACATTTTACTATGATGCCACAGGAGAGGAATTGTCAGTGGCAATGAAGTGATCATTTACCTGATGCTGTAGTTCATAGACAATGACAACATGATGAATGTTGTATGCCCAGATTGCATTCATACTAGGCCTGGGCGATAAAATGGCATCGAAATTTATCGATAATACACCTTCTTCGATAATGATCGAAAAAATGTTCGATATAGGCACGTGCTATGAGTGACGCGCACACAAACATGAACACATGCTGAAATGACTGCTGTGCCTGCCTGTGATGAGGAGATTGTGAATGAACATTAGTCTAATTTAAAAAAAAAAAACATTTGCAATGTTAGGTGTGCGTCAGGGAGCATCATCAGTGGCGCGCGAGATGCGGTGATGTAAGTGAGGTTGTTGCATTTTAATGTTTTGTTAGTCTAGCCCACGAGATGTGGCGCTGCTGTATTATGCATTCAAAATATTAGACAAATATAGTTGCTCAGTGCAGAGAAGATCTTGATTAGTTGAAAACCAAAACCAAGCCATTCACACAGAATGCATATTCAGCGCATTTTTTTAGTCGGACAAATATGACTGCTACACTCGCGTCTCACAGAAGAGATGTATAGAAAGCCATGCTACGGTGGCCGAGAAGTGCAGAACAAATCACAATTCTGAAAACAAAAGAACAAATTACAAACGCAAATGCAAGTCTAAAAAACAAAATAATTCAGAAAACAACAACAATTCAGAAAACATAAGTCAGAAAACACAATGACAAATTCGAAAACAAATTAACAAGTCAGAAAACACAACGACAAATCAGACAAACCGGAAAAGGTAGGTATAGTTTGAGACAGCGCCATTGGTTTGGGATTACTCACCGCTGACTGGACGAGACATCTGTCAATCAATGTATACAGGGAAGAACCAGCCGAAGAACAGCAGAGTCGTGGTAGAAAGTTCGGAGATGGTATTAAAGTAGCTCAGTTTAAACGTATTTTATGTATTGCCCTTACTATGGAATAAAAAATACGGGGTGTATATTTACATTCAGTTAAAAGTGGCTGTGACACATCAGCTCCTGTGGCGCAGATGGATAAGTGCTTGCCCTTGGCTTTTTTGACGCGATTCGATCCCGCCTTTTGTCAAACTTTTTTTCCCTCCCTTTTCAAATCTCGTATCACATCGTAAAGGCATTTCTTTTCAATAAAAATTAAGGAAATAATCAAAAAGTTGAAAATAAAGTATGGGGTAGGGTTAGGGTAGGTGTAGGGAGGGCTTTATTGTACCAATAAGGTGGCATCCATTTAATAATTTAAATATTTTTTATTCCATATTAAGGGCAATTCATACAAAACATTTAAACTGAGCTACTTTAATACCATCTCCGAACTTTCTACCACGACTCTGCTGTTCTTCGGCTGGTTCTTCCCTGTATACGTTGATTGACAGATGTCTCGTCCAGTCAGCGGTGAGTAATCCCAAACTAATGGCACTGTCTCAAACTATACCTACCTTTTCCGGTTTTTCTGAATTGTCGTTGTGTTTTCTGACTTGTTAATTTGTTTTCAGATTTGTCGTTGTGTTTTCTGACTTGTTATTTTGTTTTCAAATTTGTCATTGTGTTTTCTGACTTGTTATAATGTTTTCTGAATTGTTATTTTG